GCAGTATTCAGTTTCAAGCACAGGCAGTTTGGTATTTTTTGAGACACCAGCTCGTTGTGCAAGATACTGACGTTTCACACGGCGGGTGGGAGGGTGAGGGACACTATAGGAACACAACTGTGAAAACACAAGGCCATGAATATTGGTAGGGGAGAATCAGTCTCATTTCTAACCCGGATGATTGTCAACAAGAGTTTGATTCTGACATTTGATCTGTTTTTGATTTGATCCCTGCATTTATGAATGAAGGATTTTAATTCACTCATAGAGATGTTACAGCATTTACTTCATGGGTGAGAAAACCAAGGGACAGGGAGGGGACTGACAGAGAGATGCCCGCAGTCTCCACAAAAGGATGTGAGGGTTCTTTGATACAAGGGTTCAGGAAAGTTCCAGACTCTGACACACAAAGCAGAAGGAAGGCAGGATGGAGGCCCAGGCCTCCCAAACCTCTAGGGCTGTGAAGGCATGTCCAACCGACTAGAGAGAACATTCTGCCAGGTAAGAGAATGGCTATGGACCATTTTAAGAGGTTACTTACTTTTCTGGAGACTCTGTGTTAGGAATGTCTACTCACCAGGTTCAGATAACTGGATACAATACAACCCCAGCCCATCTCTGAGTGTTGACTGTGAGACCTGGTGAATGGAAGCTCTAATTACTGCCCCTCAGCAGGAGCGGGCCACAGATCCACTGTAAGGTCAGTTCTTACACTGATGGGCAGGGGTCTCAAGTCACTTGCCCAAGGTCAGGCTGCTAGTAAGGGCAGGCTGTGCCTTTAATCTCTCGCCATTTGATGTTACATCCTATGCTCTTTGTACTTCACCAAATAGTATGATGAAACTCTCAGGCACTATTATGCTCTCAAGTTTTATTAGAAGTTGCATGCCCAGCACCAGGGAAGCATAATCTCACTCTCTTTCTTCTGCTCCAAATAACCTTGGAGGACTATATTCATTTTGGGGTGCTACATTACAGAAGGGATGCTGAGAAATTTGCACGCATGTGGAAAAAAGTGACAGCAATGGTGAAGGGTATGGAAACGCTGATATATTTAGAACTGAGCACGTCTGGCCTGAGAAGGGATGACCTTGTGGAGACATGACAGCTAGCTTCAAGAATGAGAAGACTATCACAGAGAAGAGAAATTGGACTTTTCCAGAATGGTGCTGGAGGGCAGAAGTTGCAGATAAAGAGATTTTTGCTTAATGCAGGTAAGAAGTTCTGAATGATCACAGCCACCCTAAAATGGAACAATATGCCTCATTAGGTAGTGACTGCAATTGATATTAAGGTATTTGAAGAAAAGGAAATGACTATTGGAGCTGATCTGCCTTTCGTTTTTTGGTAAAATAACTACCTTCCTCCTGCCACAAAGGTTTAGCAGAGATCATGGCTGCCCAATTTTCCTGTTCTCCCTTGCAGCTGGGTGTGGCCATACAACTGAATTCTTGGTCCTGCGATGTGAGCAGGCAACTTTTGCATCACTTCCTGGAATGAGAGGGGAAAAGCCAGGGAGCTTTGCCCACACAGGCAAGGACAATACTTGAGTGCAAGGCAAAACAAGATGGGTCCTGGGATCACTTGCTGGCCCTGGGCCACCTGCCTGACCAGGTACAGTTCCATGAGAGGGAAAGAGACACCTGTTTAACTTGAGCTTCTGTATTTTTGAGTCTCTCTGTTAGAGTGGCTTAGCCTGTGTCCCAACCAATATAACTATTTCTTGGAGATGTGCAGATTATTAAGGTATTATATAAAGATTTGTAAGCAATGATTTCTATCTTATAATTCTACATCCAAACCCCCCTAAAATTTATCTCCTTTCTTCCAAAACCAGCTGTCCCAACAGTCCCCACCATAGTCAAACATAAGCACTCTATTATGTTGGTGACCTTGTTTTTTAAAGTACCAAGGTTGAAAAAGTCAAGAACTTTTGATCTGCTTCTCTTTTATCCCTTTATCAAGTCTGATCCTAAGGCTCACCTGCTTTTCCTTCAGAAAAACATCCTGTGCAATGATACGGATGGTAAAGAAATTTTAAAGTTCTACTTGTGGTTATCAAAACTTAAGGATTGGTTAAAAATAAAGGTGATCCGTTATTTAGCCTGCATGTGATAACATTCTCCTGCAACTGTTTATTTTCCCTTAGGGGAGAAAACCAGAAGTCCAGGCCTCACTGAAGTTGAAGGTTCAGATAATACAAATATGTTTTGGCTCAAAATGTATCAGGAATCAAATATAATTTCGTATTGGTCAACACACCCAGCCAGAAGAATATTTTGATTTATTAAATGTGTCTCTCTCTAAATAAAATAAAGTGGTTGAGCTAATGAAATGAGATTCTGCCTTCTGTGCCTGGGTTCTAGGAGGAAATAAGCCAATGACAGATAGACCTTTATTTCTGTCCCATAGATATGCCACTTTCATTTCAATTTCTCTCTCTCTAGTCATGTTTGTCCTCTGATCCATAATGCCCTTACCTCTTACCTCCTAATTTATGCAAACTCTATACATGCTTCAAGATTTTGCTCTGTAATTTTCTTCTCTTAATTCATCCAGTAAATCTTTAGTATATAATTCCAAACCAAATGAGGTTTCCGATAATTGTTCCATATTGCATTTTTACCCACCGGAGCTGCTCCCTATGTCTTATGTTTTCTCTGGAACTCTTTCTTTTCTAAGCCTAAAATGATGTTTAATAAATAGATTTGAAGCATGGATAATTAAAAGATATGTATCAGACATTTTTTCATCGATATGTAAATTGTTAGTGAAGACCAAAACAGAAATCTATTTCCCCGCTGATTAAAAACAATTCATAAGGATGAATGAGTTTGGTTTTCTCACAAAATGACTTTTCAAAAAGAAAAGCTTTTGTCAATTTTGAGCTTTGCTATTAGCAGCACTTATGATATTGAGCATAAAGGCCCTCATTTCATTTCACAATGGCATAATTTGGAAATTATTAAGAACAGCTCTTTCTCAATATTTTTTAATCATGAGTCAACTAAAAACATCACCGTCGGTTTCTCCAGTGGATCCTTCCTGAATCTCCTCACATGAAACACATTTTAAACCACCTTTAGCTCTTGAGTTTTAGCTCCATTAAATTCTTGTCAGCACATTCTTTTTTTTTTCATGGAAATAGACGATTACATGTTTTGAACTCTACTACCAACATAGAAAAAAACTAAGATGGAAAACTCATACCACTATTCAACAAATAACTTGTAGAGTCTCTAAACGCAGTTTCCCTTCAATGCACAGAAGTATGAGAAGGTGTATTTCAGCAAAGAAATGTTCAGGATCTGAGGGGAAGTGGAGCTTATTGGAGGCAGTAATATTTCATTGAGTTTCTGGAGCCACTGATTCAGAACAACCAGCTCCTTTCTAATTTATAGCGTGTTCTTTACGTCCAGCTGCCTGTTTAGCTGAAAGATCCTGTCCTGGGAGAGAATTCATTTGGCTCTTGGAGGAGTCCAAGGAGGACTGGGGTGCTGGGATATGAATTTCAAGCAAGACAAAATGGAACCCAAAAACTTTTTAGATGAAGGGCTTGTACTAACGTGCAAAATACTTAGAAAAGGATATAATTAATCTAGAACGCTCCTCTAACAGTTAATTTTCCAATCTCTGTTTCAATTTAAAAATACTTCCTCTTAGGGAACAGGAAAATCTTGAAAGAAAAATATATAGGTTATACTTTATAAACTTAAAGTGCAAAGTAATGAATGCTTACGGGAAATAGGAAGGCCTTGGGGAAATCTAGAAATAGGCTATAACTTAGTAGAGCCAGTTATTAAATATTTACTTTTTCCTATTGGCTTAGAAAAAGACAAATTTTCCCTCTGCCAAGGTGGGTCTCACTCCCTCTGATATGAGCCTCTGCCTGCAGCCCCACACCCACACCCCAAGACTGAGAGGCTGGGCTTGAAGGCAGCAATGACTTTGGCTCCCTCTCCCCTTCCATGCAGGTAGCCAACACGCTGCAACAGGTGCTTGGAGCAGTTGTTGATGGAAGCCCATGCTCCCTCCCCCAGCCCTGTTTATGCTTTCTGAGTCCCTACTGACATCAATGCCTAAGCTATCCTCCTTGTGTGTCAATGATGTTCTCTACCCCTATTTATTAACTTAAATCTATCGTGGGATCACCAATTGTTTAAACTACCCACATTTGCTGGTCTGGTAACAACAAAACAACAACTTCTGGGAGATACTGTTAAAGAATTTTCCCCTCCTAACCAAAAAAGAAAAGTTATGCATCCTTTATTTAGCAGCACTTGGAAATAAGGTATAGAATCTAAATTTCTAGATGTGACATTTTTCTCTAAGGTTTTATTTTTAAACTATTTTGGGAATGAAGATTCCTTTGATGTGTTTGACGTAAATTCCTGCCAGCTTCAGGAGAGTCTGCTGAACGTATGCCCAGCCTCTTCCTCATGATCTATGATCAACATGAGGAACATCAGCCCTTTCACCCTCTGCAGTAACTCAGCGAGAGTCTTGGGCTAGTTAACCCGAGTCAGGCTTTGGGTCTTCTACTCAATGTTCCTGGGCTGCAATACTTTTCAATTTCCTGATTTTTTTCTGTCTCTCTCCTCTCCACAATTACTTCAATTACCTGTTGACATTTTTTGAGCCTTTTTTTTTTTTTGGCAAAAGCCCTCAGTTCATTAATTTTTAGTCCATTGTACAATATGGAAGCTCAGGAAAACAAGCTTCTTTTCTTTTCTATAAGATGTTCTAGGGTAAGGCCTGATGAGTGTGGCTCTATCCAGTCCAGCAGTTCATGGCTCTTAAGTGTATATTCAGAGGACACTTAGTGACCCCTTTCTTCTGCTTCTTCATCGATTCTCTTATTGCAGTTGTGTTTCAGTTACTCAGACTGTTGGACAAGTGCCCTCCATATCCATGATGCATCTTGTTATGACCAAATACTGTGTCTTTGGGCTCAGGGCCCGTGTGTAGCTCATGAGCCAAGACGGCAAAGCAATCCTTACCTTTTTGTAGAGACTCCTCAGATCTCGGTACTGCCACATGCTGTTTAGGACCTGAGATGCGGCCTTGACCACTTTTGGAGAGTGTCTGAAAAAGAAAAGACAGGACATTCAAGAGGGTGAGCGGGGCAGCTGGGCTTCAAATTGACACTGACTTGGCAGGAAAACAGCAAGAATAAACATCCTCATGGGGTTTCTAGCTCTTTTCCTCTCAGCCCGGGGAGTGCAAGGGATGGTTCTACCAGTCTCTAACCTCGTTCTCATCAACACACCCATGAGGGTGACAGACAGGAACGCGTCCCATTTTGGCAAAGAATTTTCAAAATGCAAACCAAAGAGCAGTGCATTGAGTCAGAATGCATATTTAACGTTTGACTACAAAATAGGACAGAAAGAAGACAAAAATAGCAATTAAGAAGGGCCAGATTCAGGGTTTTTAATGGTAGTGTTGTGCAACACCTGTGTAGTGAGAAGAAAAAATATATTCATTTTCTCAACTGAAGCATGAGAGCATATACCGTGCTGGCTCTGCGTGCCTGCGTGCTTACAGGGAGCTGCTCTCTGCTTGCTGCTGGTGCCAAGCTCAAGAGACTGGCAGTGAAGGCAGACGTGTGCACACACTGGCACACACACTCTCTTACATTTATATAGAGGAATGAATAAGCATCTATAAATAAAGTCCTTCATACAATTAAAGTCCCATCCTCTGGACCATAGTGAGAAACTAAGGTCACATAAACCTTTGGACTAGTGGTTTTTAACATTTTTTTGAGTCATGGCTTTGAAATCCCTATGAAACAATAGCTCCATATTTTGCCTTGTGGTTCAGCGCCAAGCTGCATATCAAAACAGACACCAGGTCAATAAATCCGTGTTGTTTAATTCAATCAAATTCTTGGAAGTCACTTTGACTAGTGGTGAGGGAAAATATTAACTACCTGCAGATCCTTTGTTTCAACGGGCTGGTTCCACAGCCGGCTGCACAACTCCAGTGGCTGCCACCGATACTGTGCCTAACTCAGCGGCTGGCACGCTTTTTCTATAAAGGGGCAGGTAATAAATATTCTTGGCTTTGGGCCATATGGTCTCCATCGTAGCCACTCAACTCTGTCAATTGTAGGATGAGAGGGGTCATACATAATACATAAACGAATGGCTGTGGCTGTGTTCCAATCAAATGTTATTCACAAAAGCAGGGAGCAGGTGGGATTTGGCCGGTGGCTGTAGTTTGCTGAGCCCTGGTCTATGGGAATGGTGACTCCTGGAGCTGTGCAGGACATAACGATTCACGAAGATGCCAATGTGAAGTCCACGCCTGAAGCTGACCGGTGGTGCAGTGGCCCATAGATCCCCTAAGAGAACATCTGAATTGAGACCAAAAATGCTTTTGAAGTAAAATGGCCTTTGAAATAGAAAGTGACAGATGGTTAGATGAGATCAGGTTGAGGCTGAATTTGAGAGACAGAGTAAATGAATGTTTCAAGAGCACGCATTTTGTAATGAAATTATGGGATGCTAATACATGGTCAATTAGATGTCAGCTATTTCCTGGGTCTTCATGTTTGCAATTTAGACCAACTAAGTTTAAGGTTTCTTCATCCGTTTATTTACTGGTAACAGTAATAGTCACTTCCTATTATTATTACTGAGATGGAATTCAATTTGTGTTTGAAATCTATTAGTTATATCATGTACTTCTAAAAGAAGTGTGAAAGATGAGCTATATTTAAGCAACATACATATTTTCTTTTTCTAAAATAGGCAGTTGCTAAATAATTTCACAATTTATGTTAGCATCATGCCTAAATGTAATATTACATTTCTTTGACTTAAAGACAGAATTTTAGATCTTTACATGGATATAGATCAGGTACATTTTATTCTTATATAATCAATGCTGAACAAAGATTAAGTGCTATGTTTTGCTGTATTTTATCATTGTTAGCTAGATATATGGCCATGGCAATAGTCAAGCAACTCTAGAGTACATATATTAATATTCAGGTAGTGACAATGTAGTTGAAACATATTTAGTAAGCAAAAGTTCCTCTGACACACTGTAATTTTTTGTTTCTACTTCTGGCTTAGTTACAAAATAGAAAGAGACTGTGAATGTGTAATGAGTAGCAGGTTTGAACGTCTCAATTAAAATGCCAATACATCACAGTGTTATAATAACATGTGAAGGTCAAAGAAACATTGCTTTCTTTTTAGACTTTAATTTTGATCCATACACTAGACTGGTACCATAGCAACTTCTATTTGAAAAACTATAACTATTGATTGAAGGACTTGAACAATTGAGGTTTCTAATGTGACCAGTCATTATAACCTAAGCCACAATACACTGTTCCTTACTGACAAGTAACAGTTGAGACTGTTAATGGCTTTTCTGTCTTCTGACAAAATACAGTGACACATTCAACACTATTTTCTATATAACTGTTAAAATTAGAAAAAAACCCAAACAAACTTTTGAAACAGATGGACGTGACAGAATGACCATAATGGATGTTTAAAATGATGTGATGTGAAAAGACTTATATAAGTTATCAAGACTTCAAAATGGTAAGTATAAGACTCCTATAAGAGTCATTAATGATTACACAATGTCTGATCTTCACTGGAGTTGTCAAATTAGGGGTGGCTGAAGATTTCAGTTGGTGCAATTCATTTTGGGTGTTCAGCACAGCCATTCCATTCAGCAGGACCACAGAACATCAGTCCCAGTGGTTGTGTTAGCAAGACACGGTGAATTATACAATTCAAACAGACTGTGAATGGTAACTTGACAGTCTGACCAATTAATAATATGGCATATTTAAGCTTATGCATATTTAGATGTATACATATATAAAATGTATAAATACATAAAATGGAGAATCATAGCTAGGCACATTTTTCCATCTGTGTTTTCCCATGCTACCTCATATTTAAAAATCAGATTTGAACTAAACTTATTTCTGTAAATACTTTTTTAAGGACAATTTAGGGAGGGCAGATTTGCAAGCATTACATAAATTAACCAGAGTGAATTGATATTCCTCCATTTTCCAATTATTAAATCATCCCTAATTCCAAAAATTCTATTTTTAATAAAGAATTTCTATTTATTAAAACATGTCTAGAAGGCCATGGGAATCCCAGTGCCTACTGTTATAATAGAATTGAGTGATAAATGGCAAGTTTATTGCTAAGATTCAAAGCAATTCTCCTAGATTCATTTTGTTTTAAAAGCAGTGAGAAGCATAACCAAATTGAAGTGTAGGTGGCAGATGAGTATATCTATAGTTATAAAAACCTCGTTTTGATCCTCGAATTAGTCACTATATAAAAAAGAAATAAACTACATGAAAGAATGGATGAGACAGACTAAGCAGGAGAACTATAACTGGGAGGATGCTTGACTCAACCCAATTCAACACATTGTATTAAACAGGTAAATCCAGACCTTTACATTAGAAAAAAAGATAAAGGAACTATGAGATGAAAACAAGTGATTATTCCTCAAAGAAATTTTCAATCAAATTAGAGGACATTTATGAGATCATTTGCAGTGAAAGAAACTTCCCATTAACAATAATCAAGATCGGATCAGACCTAACAGGACCATTTTCTGGATTGGCAAAGTAAATGTATACTATTTCAAAGATGGCTTCCTTAAACGATTTTTTAACTGGTTTGGCCAAATAATTTTCTTTGACCATAGGACTGATAAGAGCATCTTTTCTCTTGAAGGCCCATTTACTGATGCTTATTGCTATAAGGATGCTCACACAGTTGGAAGGAATGAATATAGGCCAAACTACCCCCAAAGTTCTCTAGTCTTACAATTTAGAAAAAATACTTGAATCTTTGAATGTCTCCTGGTTATAGACAAATATGCCAGAGTGTTTTTGTGAGCTATGGTTTTACTCTGTGTGTATGTGTATTTGCTTAAAAAAGCATTAACATATTAAGCTCATAATGCTTAAAACAGGTAAGCATTTCAATGAGAGAGTCCAAGGGTCTACTGAAGCTGTATGAAGAAGAAAACCATGTGGCTTTCTGCCTATGTAGAATAGCACTTTATTGTAAGTACAGTAAAATAAGGTATAATTCAAGCCAACCATCCACATTGCAGAATAATTACCTGAGTCCAACAGGGCTTCTCTACTTGATGTAGGAAAGTATTCAAATCCTAATACTGAATTCTTGATTGAACCTATTTGGAGGTCTCAGGGTGCTTAAACAGAAAACCTGAAACTTCTTTTATAATACAATGGTAATATCCTGAATTAAATGAAATAATGAGAGAATTTCCAAAATGTCTCCAAGTGCATCCCTCACAGCCTTTAATAACAAAAGAAAAATTATTTAGCATTTAGATGTAAAGGAATGGGGGAGGGCAGAGAATGAAAAGTCAAGAAGCAGACCTTTGATAACAAAAGGTTTACCCTTTTAATCTTATTTGATTACATTGAGGGACTTCCAGGAGGAGAAATTTAATTAAGGTTAGTGAGTGTTTCTGTAAAACTCACAGCTCGCTGATACACTGACACTCTGGCTTGTGAAGATATTTTTCGGTTGCACACAGTAAGATACCATTGATTCTTAAATCAAACTGGGGACATTCCTATCTGTGGTGGTGCAGTTGCTTTCACACGGAGCCTCCTCTCTTTTTATTCCATTCACATAAAAGCTTTCCTTCCTCGCCACCATCTTGTCTGCTGGGAAATTTCTATTCGTCCTTTAAGATTTGGTTATCATTTCTTTCAGGGAGTCCATTATGACAGCCCCTGTCTTAGTTTCAGATTGGAAAGTACAGGCATAGTGACTTGTTAAATTAAATAATTTGCCCCAAATCCACAGCTAGTAAGGGAGGGTGCTGGATTAGCACTGAGTTCACTCTGGCTCTATCACACTCTATTTTCTCCCCCATCCTCCCTGCACAATGACTTGCTAGGCAGCGTGGAAGAGGCACAGAGAAAAGGATGTGACTACATCATCAACACTTGGACGTGCAGCCACAGAGGAATGACCACAAAATACCTGACTGTATCCAGGTGAAGCTGACTGTCTCTTCCCTGTTGGAGGAACACACTAGTGTACGCACGCTGGATTGTCAAGTTTATCTTACCAATATCACGGTAGTCACCAAGTCATGAGTTAGTCATCAAATTGAAATTCCCAGTAACATCAGCTTTCATTATGGGGTAGGAAGACTGGAAACCATTTGCTGTTTCCTTGCTCTTTCCTTCTCTTGATTATCAGAGACAGATGCAGTGACATTCAACCGTGCTACCCATCGCCAGGGGTGAAGGGCACACTTAGAACAGATTCTACCAACACCAGTTCTACGTTGATACCAAGTCATCATCTGACTTACTTATCTCCTTTGCTTTTGGAGATGCCAACCAACTTCTCGATGCCGCCAGCATCTCGTAAGGCCTTGGCGTTCTCCATGTTCTTGGTGATCACTTCATGCAGGGTGCAGCAGACGGCTGTCACCGTGTCATCCGACATGGCCTTGCTGGCTGTGTTGTTGCTGTTGTTCCCGCCTGGAAGCCTGTGGACGAGGTCTCGCATGGCATATTTGCCTTTGGAAAAGAAAATGAAAGAAAGAGTCAAAATGAGGCCAAAATGGAGGAATAAAGCAGAGGAGATGTAGGGCAGGGGAGAAAAAGCAAACACAAGAGGCCACATTAATGCAATGTTGTCTGTTTCCCATCACTGAATAGCCTTTATTGGGTAATTCTGAACATATATACAGAGAAAACAGTATGTCATCATGGCGAATGCATAGACTTGGATGCTACATGGATGTGGAAGTGAATCTCTGGGCAAGTTATGTCATGCCTCTAAGCCTTAGCCTTTTTAATCCATAAAGCAAGAACAATAATGGTACCTATCTAACAAGTTGCTATAAAGATTAAATGAGTAACTGTGTGAAAAGCATTTAACATACGAGGATTCCCGAGGATGTAGGATTCAATAGATGTTAGCTATCAGTGGATTCCTGCTTAGTATTCACAGAAGTCAAGAAAACATGGTAATGGTAATTCTAACGTAACCTCAAAAATGCCTTGCCAGGAGCTATGTTGGGACCCGTATTATTTAACAAGTTAGAGTCAAACCACAAATATGTGGAGAACATGATCATATAGATGACTTCTGAGTTCTGGCCCCTGTAAAGCAAAGAGAAACATTTAAAGCAGGAGAGAGAAGCTTTACGAACAATATATAACTAGGTGTCCTTTGAACTAGGGTAAATGGATGATCTGCTTGTCTCTGATGGGATTTTATTGTATGGTTCTACCATATAACACTTACTAATTTGACATATTTGTCTTTGTGTAAAAAAAGTAAAATCCAACTTTGCTCCCTAATTCCCTTTATCATTATTAATCTTGCTACTCCCAATGATAAAGCTACTTATAATGACATCTTTATGGAGTCCTTTTAGTTTACAAAGCACTTCAGGCATTACCAATAACCCTGCAGGACAATTAATTCATCCCACCTGCAGCTTTCGAGTCTGTTCCATTAATTTACTCTGGAACTAAGTAAATGAGAGCCTGTAGCAAACTTGGCTGTTCTTAAATTCTTCGGATGGAACTGGCATGTGTCCAAAGTTACATCCCTTCCTTGTGTCCCATCCGCCAATTAGATATATTTAGCTAGCTCCCAAAAGCCATATGAAATATTTTTCCTCCACACAAGTCTCTAAAGTATAGCCTCTTTGGCTGTTTAATTATCTAGTGCTTGGTGCCTGGGGGTAGAAAAAGGAACCCCCTGGGAAGAGGTGATGATATCTTAATTCCAGACAGTAATAAATAAAACATAGACCCTGGTAATTTTGGTATCTGCTCTTATCCTATGTTTATGTGGCTTATTTTAGCTTGGACAAAAAAATGCTGATGTCTAAATTACTGAAATAGGAAAGTGTCTTCATCACTTGATGGCAGCTGAAAATGTTTGATAAAAATGGTTTGCCTGAGAACCCCCAAATGTAGCATATTTATTTTCTAATGACAGCACTTAAAATAGAAGAAGATCCTTTGTACATGGGTAGTCCTCTGAGCAACTTGCTTTATTTATTTATCATTAAATTGCTCTCAACTCTAGCTAAGAGTTTACTTTTGTTGAGATCAGGACGCTGGTGATTTTATCAGTTCACTAACCCCCCAAAACCATTGTAAGACAAACTTGAGTTCCATAGAAGAGAGAAGATGGACTTTTCTTATAAGGTAAGTGATGGAGGAAGGAAACAAAACTATTTCAATCATTGTGCCTACAGGGACATTCACACTCCTGATCCCGTACGAAAGATTGATTTTGTGACCTTGGACAGCGTCAAGGTTGAAAGCAAAAACGAGGAGAGGGGGAAGATTTGGCGGCAGCATTTTTTAGTTTTTGTAATCATCATTTTAAAAATTATGACAGACAAATTTGAAGATTTGGTCTCTTTCTGCATGGCTTCCCAACCCATGAGCCCTGAGTGAGATACAGGATGTCCCCACAGGTTGCAGGAACAACCACGTCTCCCGGGAGCAGCCTCTTCGACTTGCCCCAGTGTGCTACAAAAGTATCATTTTCCATGTGCTCCACGGGGTGGAAAAGAGCAGGAGTCACTGCCATATATAACCTACAACAACCTGTTGAGGAAAGTCATTGGAATAATTTTATTTTATTTCTAATATTTCCAATATAGTTCACTGACATTTTAGTAAGCAAGTGGGGATTTTTCATGTAGTCTATTTATCAGCCTATTTGGAGGGATACATTTTAGTCAATATTTTTGACCATCCAAGTGGAAAAACAAATCAAGTAAAAGTATTCCATAGAGCAGAAGACCTGTGGGCAAAGTGTGTTAATTCTATTAAGGGTATACAATTGTTTTAGCCTTTGATTATGTTGCTGAGAAAAGCTGCCTTCTCACACTGGAACTTGAATCCTATCTTCACGTGATATTTGAGTTGCAAGAATAGATTTTTAGGTCTTTCTTGTGTTTAGAAACTTTGAGGCTAATTGGGGGGTAAAAACAAAATATGGAACATAGAATAATTACAGCCACAAGCAACCTCATGTTGGATGCTAATAACAGAAGTTCAGGGGCCGGCCCCGTGGCTTAGCGGTTAAGTGTGCGCGCTCCGCTACTGGCGGCCCGAGTTCGGATCCCGGGCGCGCACCGATGCACCGCTTCTCCGGCCATGCTGAGGCTGCGTCCCACATACAGCAACTAGAAGGATGTGTAACTATGACATACAACTATCTACTGGGGCTTTGGGGAAAAAACAAAAACAAAAACAAAAAAACCAGAAGTTCAGGGAAGAGAGAAATCTGATTAGACTGGGGTTGTAATGGAAGGCTTGATATGGGAAGTAGACATTTAGGATTTGTTCTATAGGTAAGGGGAACCTAAAATCAAGCTGATATTTTACAAAGAGAATTCTGGGGCATCAAGAAGAAGGAAGGTTTCAGAATAGTAAGATTGAAGGTGGGAGAAACACATAGTCTTTTTCTTGACAATAAAGCGCTCTCTCTCTGAACTTCTAATTATAAGCATTACAACTCAAGGTAGCTTGTGCCTATAATTGTTCTATGTTCCATATTTTCTTTTTTCCCTAAGTTTCTAAACAATAAAAAGAACAAAAAAGCTATTCTTGCTGCCCAATAAGAGGACTCTTGGCACCCCCCCCCCCTCAGGTTTTTGAGTCCTTGAGGTCTGAGATTTCTTCGGAGACGAAAAGAGTTAACCTCCTTTTGGAGGAAATTCTCTTTTTGTGTCACAGTGGTGATGACAAAAAGTTGCAAGGTGGGTGGGTCAAACTTTAATTTTCACAGCCTAACATCATCAAGGCGATCAAATTGTTTTTTTGTTTTCTTTTGTTTTCAGAGAAAGAAATAGATGGAGGTAGGGTTCTTCTTGGGCTAAGGAGTGGAGTGGCTGGACCACCAGGTGGACGCTGTCTCTTTAGGAACGTGGAGGAGGAACAAGTTGGAGGTTCTGCACGGGCCCAGGGACAGCAAGGGCACCTGGAGCTCAGCAGTGCCCCTGTGGTGCATTGGGACACTACGTGGATGCAGGAGAGATCGTAAGAACACTCACTCTGCAGCTGAGCCTGGCATGAGGTAGAGGAGCTTCCTGTCTTAGAATAAACAGCTGAGGCTCGCAAAAGGGACTGTGGCACCAGCAACCACTGCAGACTGCAGACTGCTCCTCCTTCTGATGCTGGCCCTGATACCAGTTCCCCTACATTAAGCCCAGCATATATGGGTTAAAACCAAAGGCACTCATCCTCTATCCCTGTTTCTCTAAGTTACATTCATATGAAAATATCAGTTTTTTAAACCTTTGTACCCCTGAACTTCACAAGGCAGGTAGAAGTTCCAAATTGTTAAAAGCCCAGGTGGCCTCAAGCTGGGCTCACACTGAAGTTTTGGCTAATGATCAGTTCTTGAGGTTTGTTACAGGAAAATTGATATTAAGAAGCTAAAGCTTCTCAGACCTCAACTCCTTGGCTTCCCGGCGCCTGAATCCACCATCTACCAGGGAGACAAAGACGGTTGAAGGACACCCAACTGCAATTCCCTTATCTCGCCATCCTCCTCCCTGCCAGCAGCCTCACGAGGCCAAACGTAGGCTGATGAGAAAGTGCTGACCAGCAAGGCCACAGGCTCCCCCTCCCTATAAGCAGCCACATTTCTCACAACCTTTTTTGTTTTGTTTTCTTTTCTAACGAGCTTTTATTTTATTTTATTTTTTATTATTTTTTTATTTTTTGTTTATTGCGGTAACATTGGTTTATAACATTGTATAAATTTCAGAACCTTTAAAATCCTTGCCTCCCATCTTTCAGGGAGACGGGACAAAACTTTGACATCATCTCCCAGCAGACGGCACCCGAAATAAAAACTCTTTCCTTGCCATAAGCCAGGTGTTCTAGTTTTATTTGGTCCCTCTTGTGTGGTGGGTAAAGAACCCGGGTATGTGTCCATGTCTCCGGTAAAACTTTCTCTAGATTTCATTTGGTTTAAAAGTAAGTAAATGCTATGACACTGAAATGTCAGACAGCAATTCACAGAGCAATTCATGCTGATGATACCACTTAGCAGGCAACAGTAATACTTCAGGACAAAAACAACCAGGTCTTGTGACCATAAAGAGGCAGCTTTGGGGGGCTGGGTGTTAGGGACAGGAGAGCAGCCATGATGGAGATTCCTAGGGTGAAACTGACAAAGTTGGAGTCCAGTGAAATGTTGGGAGTAATGGAGGGAAAGAGGATTCAGAAATTTCTAGCTGAGACAATGTGGTGGATGGTGAAAACCAAGTGAATTTAAAAATTTAATAATAGTGACAAGTTGGATTTCTATTTTATTTTTTCACACAAAGAAAAACATGCAAAATTAGTAAACGTTATATGAGAGAGCCATAAAGCACAATCCCATCAGAAAGACAAGGTCATCAGGTTCAAAACACACCCAGATTTGTGAAAGCAAAATGGATACCTTGCCCCACCTCCATCTAAAATAGATGTGCTTCCCATTATCCACTATCATGGAATCACATGTTAAACAAGAAAAGCATATGGCTCCC